ATCGGATTTTGGTTTTGCACGAGTAATACAAACTAATGAATTATCTCATACATATTGCGGTTCAGCTGCTTATGCTTCTTGTGAAATTCTTCAAGGTATTCATTAAAAAAACAGCTTTTATTTTTTTTTCCATATTTATTCCAAGTCAAACTTTTTTTTCATATGCTTGACATCTACAGACTTCAAAATATATCCGGATCACATAATTTTCCTTTCATCGACAGGCACTTGTATGCTTATATAAGTCATGCACAGACTTCATAAAAGAAATCATAGAAATGGATATACTTACAATGATCAATTGGAATAAAATAATTACATATTTTCTACTCAAAACGAAATAATACTTCTTGCCTTTAAGGGAGACTCATGCTCTTCTTTTTGAAATCTCTGAAGAACGACTCATTAGAAATATTTTAAATTTTGAGTGTAGATAGATACCGAAAAGTAGAGTAAAAGTTGTTGTAGATTCTAAGCTCTCAAATATTTCTGTTTAGAAAATATCTGGATCGCAAAGACTAAAAATCGTCCTGCTTTCTCAGCCTCAATACGTCCGATAGAGATTTTTTTGATTTCGTTTTGCCTTCTTCCATTCGAATAAAAAGATCAAAATACTAATCTTATCTCCAAAAATACATGTTTGTTTTTTTTGGTAAGATGCACCAAAAACCAACGATCCAATATTCTTCAAAACAGAAAAAAGTAGACACCTCAAACAGTGTCAAGTATCTGTAAGAAAAGTTTCAGTTCGATCGAACATCCTATGTCGGAGAAACGGGAGACGATTCTGCACTTCTTTTCGTATAAAAATTGATTTTCAAAAACTAATTTTCCTATATGTATCAGAACCTTTTTTTCTCCAACTAAAGTGATTGACAACTAATGGTGTTAGAGATTCATGATTCATGCTCATAGCACCTTTGAAATGAGAAAATTATCGTTATCATTAGGTGAATTTTGTATACAAAGAATAATCTCAGCGCGAGTTTTTCTGCTAGAAATTTCGATAGTTGAGCTTAATAAAAGTGCTAACCAACAACGAGAAGCTCTCATGTATACGGCATTTACTTAGCGATAAGAGATCAAAAACCGAAAAAGTTTCGATTTAAAATATCTGGAAAGGAATGAGGCGATCTCCTTAAGAATGTCTCGATCTAATTACTCATTTAAATTCTCATTTTATTCTACTTGTTAAAGTCTTGATTATTTAATATATGAATTTTTATTAAGAATCGAATCATTTTAAGCGTAAAACTAAAAAAAAAAGCTGAAAAGTTCTACAGGCTACAAGAAATTTCGAGCGATAAATTCTAGCGTCGATCACCATGAAACTTTACATTTTTTTTTTCTGAATAGACATATTTTCTATATATTGTCTAATATACTGAATCAATTGTCTCTCATCGTGGCCTAGTCTCCACTATGAAATTTAGTACTAAATTAAGAAACGTAGTTAGTAGAAAAATTAATTCAGAATTAATTTAACTTCGAGAGATGATTTAACTTGAATCTAGCAAACCTACACTATCACCATTAAATCAATAACAGATATCATAGTAATACTCATAGACTATAGATGATTATAAGAGATATTGACAACACCCTTGTTTCTCTCTTCAGAAACCTATCAGACTTTCAGAGTTCACAGTTATTCTAAGAAATGAATTAGTAGCATTCATCTTTGAATTAGTGTTTACTTATACACTACTAACATTAAATAGTTGACAACTACTGATATTTACATCGAGAGAACAGTTAAAACATTACAAGAAAAAAATTTTCGTATATGCAAGCACATTACATACACTTGAATAGAATTCAAATGCTTGAGATCGTCAAAAGGTCTTAAGTCTTGTTTCAACATATATATATCTATATCACATAACTTTCTTGACCAAGCTACTTAAGTTTTTCATGTCACATAAAAATAAAAAGTTTGACTTGAATTATTTTTAAATTTAAGGTATACCATATAATGCTATTCCAGCTGATATATGGTCATGTGGAGTTATTCTATATATAATGGTCTATGGGTTAGGTTCTCTTTGTTTTTTGTTTTCATTTTTCTATTGTCTTTTTTCTTTTTTCTTTTTTTTTGAAAATCAATCACAGTTCAATGCCATTTGATGATTCAAATATACGAAAACTTGTACGATGTCAACTTGAAAAAAAAATTCATTTTAGTCGTTATAAACCTTTATCAATTGAATGTAAACAATTAATATTATCTTTACTTGAACCTGATATTAAAATTCGTGCTACAATAATTCAAATTAAAAATAATGATTGGATTAAAGGACGTATTTCATCAATAATAATTAATAATGATTCACCAACAAATATTTCATTATCTGGAATAGGAAGATCTATACCAACTACACCAAAATTATTTAGTCCAATTGTAAATAATATACAAGAATCAACAATAAAAATGATGAAAACAACAATAACTGATAATTATCAATTATCAACATTAAATCAAAAAAATAGTTTTGGACAAACTATTAATAAATCATTAACAATAACAAATTCTCTTGCAAAAGATTAAAATAAAACTTAAATTTTATTTTATTGTATATATATATAAACAGTAAAATTTTAGTCTTTCTATTCTAAATACGAAAATCATTTTTTTTTTCTAAATACTTTCTCTTGTTTTTACTAATTTCACTAATGTAAAAACACTTTCTATGTTTTTTTTTACCAAGTGGACTACAACAAAATGGACGACGAACATTGACCTATTAATAATAATAATGAAGGACTCCCCCTAGAAATCGAACTTCAACGAGACATATAAGGCATGAGTGAAACTTTGCATAGATATTCGGCTCATGGAAATACATTGATAAAAAAGAATTTCATGCTTTCATACCTTACCGTTTAAGAGACTTCAAAGAATCAAGCTACAAATTAGAGATTTTACACAGACAAATTTTTTATCAATATATATCAAGCTACAGAGCTTGGGTTGCTTTTATTTGAAGGAGCACTCATTTTCATTTCGGATGAAGGAAAAGTTTTTTTCTTTATTTTTACTCTGTTTCATTTTTCGGATCATCAAAATTTCAATAGCCTGGAAATGCTACATATGAATTTTTGAAAAACTCAAGGTTTACCTAGCATTGATTAATTTAACAGAATCATCTTGTTTTCTTATTAAATTTAAAATTTCTTCTGATGATAAGAACTTAACAATGATTCCAAGTATCCTAGATACACATAGATATTCAAAAATTTAATCAATTTTAACTTTTCTATTTAATATCTAATATATATAATTATTCGTTCACAATTCTCTCAAATCAGATATGATTCGTGATAGTATACTAATCTTAAATAACATAATATTTCTGAACATATAAGCTGTTGCTAATTTACGGGAGGATAAATTTTCGATGTTCGAGTTAAAATAGTTTGATTTCACAGGTCTCTTTACGAGATACATCACGATAGTTTTCTGCTACCCTACCATTGCCTTTATATTTGTTATATTATTCAACAACGTAATAAAGATAGAAGAATAACAAACTATCACTTATTGTCTTGCAGTTTTTTTTTAAGACTGATAATGATGGTTAGTTTTTACTAATAATTCATAGGAAGTATGCTGTTCTTTTTTATATAAAACATCTATTTTGAGGATGCGTGTAAAGAAAAGATCTACAACTATATCTTTAAATCATTGTAGATCTCAAAAATGTATCTCTAAGATGCACAAGAGTGGATTACCTCTGAAAAATATTTATTTATTTTATAGATCTAATTCCACAAAAAAAAAGAAATGTTTACTGATTGCTCTAGACATCATTATTTGTCCAGTTACTGTCAAAAATCACAATTATTTTTAACAATTTGTATACTAAGCAACTCAGACAGACATGTTCATATGTTTATCTCGGTAAATCATTTTTTTTGTTTTTCTTGATGAACATCGAGTTTTCTCAGGAGAATGAGAACTTAAAGAAGAAAACTTTTCATTTGAGAATTGCTTTGTTTTTTTGTTTTTTTCTATAGTAAAATATTTTCTTGTATCGAAAAGATTAATGTTGAAAATCATTAGATTTATTTCTACATAGATTGTTATCTATTTATCTATCTTGAATACGAAATATGCCAAGTACATTCGATTGTGATCAATGATGAATGTTACTTTGACGTGTGTATTTTTTTCTTTTCAAAGATTTGATAAATGATGTAATTAATTCATATAAAACAATATAATAAATCATTTTCTTTTTGATGTTATTTTAATATTTTCTAGTTGATTATCTTATTTGCAAATATAAAATATATTTAATTCTATTTAAGTATCTCTTCGATTGACATAGATGGAAACGCTATATATATATATGTGCATCATTAATCTTGGATAGTACAAACTTGATCTCTTTGATCTATTTAAATGATGTTCTTTCTCACACGTTCAAATCATTTATTTATTTATTTTTTTTGTATATATGCCGGCATAAATAGATGAGAAAAACTTGTGAATACAACATGTTCGTGCAAGTAACAATGAATTAGTCGATTATATTTTATATCATATAATAACAAGTGTGAGAAATCTCTTTCGATGTGTATGTTAAATGATCAATGTCTGACAATGAAAAGTACTTAATATGAGATTTATGATTTTTTTTATATTCGTCAATGAATTTAAAGAAAAAAACAAAACAAAACAAAAAGATGAAAGAGAAATAATATTATTTTATATCAGACTGTTCATATATAACCATAACTACTGATACAATCATCAAATATACGAAAAAAAAAAAAATGTCAATAAATTCTACATTGGATAAAAAGAAAAATCGATATATGTCGTTGTTAACCAATCGTTTGTTCTCTCTTTTTTTCTCAATTATAGTGATTTATGATCGATCGAACTCGCGCGCTTGTATATGTGTCTTTCTCTCTCTCTCTCTGTTTTTTTTCTCTCCACCTTCAATCACTCATCATTTACTCTCTGAGCCGCGTACATATACATATTTTATTCAATGACGACATCAACTAAAACACAACAACTCTATGGTGAATATATAAATCCAACGGTAAAATTTATTTTGTTTTTGAAAATCTAAAGGAAAAGTTTGGTTTTTTTGTTTTTTTAAAATTAAATAGAATGATCAATATTTACCACAAAAAGAAAATCCATTAGTATTAATGGCACAAGCATGTAATAATATTGGTAAAGAATTATTAATAACATTAAAACAATCACCATCTCCTCCACCACTTTTATCTAAAACTCGAAAATCTAATTCACCACAAGAAATAAAAAAATCTTTAAAAAGAATGGCATCAACAACATGTTTATCACCATCACCAGCTAAAAAAATTTTCTTTCCTCAATTATCTTATTATCCATCATCATCATCATCCTCATCGTCATTTATATTTGATTCACTTTTTTATTATCATTTAAATAAAATATTTTCATCATCAACATTTGATTTATCATTATTATCAACATCATCATTAAATTATTATTCAGCTTTTTCTTCAATACCTCAACGATCTTCTTATTTAATGGATTCTATATTATCATCATCATCATCACCATTTATTTGTAATTGGATAGATTCATCTATTCCCAATAGACTTTGTGGAAAACGTTTTACAAATAATATTCATTTACTTGAACATCTTTGTACAGAACATACATCAATATCATCTATTAAATCTTTATATCCATCATATTATTCATCAACATCAGTAGAAAAACTATAAAAAAAAAAAAAGCAAACTAAGTTACAGTGAAATTGCGAGGCATTTTTCTTTTTTCGTTTTTGTCTTCCGTGTATTTTTGTTTTGCTTTGATATTACAAAATGAGATATTAGTTTAGTTTGAATTTTCTTTTTTTTGAATAACGATATAGTTATTGATTCATTCTGATTACAAAAAAATGGAAGGAAAGAAATGGAGCATAAACGACAATGAAGTATAGATGAATCATGAAAAAGTCATTTGTGTGTATGTGTATATATATATATAAAAAAGAAAGCAATCATTTGAATAAGATCTATTGCTTGTCTTTTGATCTATCCGATAACAAATATTCTTCAGCTCATCTAGTTGATTTAATCGAGAGAATAGACACAATAGTGTCAATTACATATTTATAACACCTTTAGAGAAATCAAATATAATTCAAAAACGAATAAAGTCATTGAAATAATCGATTAGATATTATCGTGAAATGTGAACAAATTCAAAGTGAAGAATTTTCTTTTGTTAACTAATCGCAAAAAAAAAATATATATATTGATGACACTATAAACTCAATGACGATGATCTATTGTTTTGTATATGTATATGTATATTGATAAAGAAAAATACAGTTGTTATTTGATTGTCTTTATTCAGATAAAACGATGCTTTTAACGAAGGAGGATCTTTCTTGCTTTGATCAATATGTCACAGCATGCTCGATTAATCGACTCTTATTTTGTTCTTCTCTTCATCCATTAGATTGAAGAGATAGATAGATAGATAGATAGATGACACACTTGTTCACCTACTCCATAGTTAATCTAACTCGCCACCACCTGTTTTCTATGTTTCTCCAAAAAAAAATAATATGATCAAAAGGCTAATCAATCGACCACCTACATGTCAATGTTATTTTTTCTTAATTGACCTCCCATCAAACTCCCTCCTCTTCTTTCTCATTGATGTGTTTTTGTTTTCCTAGGCTTCTAAGAATACTATTCTAATCGATGTCTTGTTACTAGTACATTTCTTTTTGATTATGTTCGATTAATGTTATTCTTAAATAGTATTGTAGAATAACATGAAAAAACAAAGTATCATATATATTATAAAGTATTGTTTAGATATGAGATTTATTTTAATTGTATGGAGTATTGACAAGTGGATAATCGAATTTATTCACTTGAAAATGAGTCAATAAAAACACATCGATTAATAATAACTTGACGGTAATGATCAGAGAATAAAATCAGTTATATTCTTGAGAAAGACTATATGCATGTAAGAGACAAATATTTCATTTCATCAAGATCTTATCTAGATAAATTTTGTTTTACCGTGTCATGTATATTTGACATTTATATGAGTATATTGAATATATAAAATGACTGTTTTTTTTCGATTTATCTTTTGTTTTTTTCTTCTTTTATCGAATCAATCAGCCATTTTCAATGGAATAGAGTATGTTGGATTCAAAAATTTCAGACCTGAACGATAGGCTCTATCTGAGAATGATATATATTTAACTTCTATGTTGAAATTTTTCTAATCTAATTTGTATTTGATTGATGAAAATAAAATGTTTAGTTTAATATTCTTTGGTTAATCTCTGATGAAGTTTATATAAGTACTTTAGAAGCATATTTTGACGCCAATAGATTTTCAGGTATGAATATTTTCGTAGGGTCTCAACCATGTATACAAAATTGATCTTCAATTTTGATGAAATTTTTTAAGATTTGTATAGATTTTAGTTCTAAGAATTTTGGATAAAAAAAAAATTTTGAAAAGCTTTTATTGTGATGAAGATATACTCAAAATATTTGAAGCAGTGCAAAATCAAAACTCCACAAAAGAAAACCAATGTTCAATATGGTATGACTGATACTGTTTTCAATCTAATGAGATATCTCCGAGTTCAAATCATTCAGTGATTTCTAACATTCATGTAAAAATACTAAATGTACCAATTTTTAGCAATCCAAAAAAGGGTGGTAAAATGAACTCATTATACTTGTTTCAGTTCGCGTTTTTTTACAGGTAAAACCAAATGAATACTTTCCTGTTATCCTGACCACCGCAGGGTGAGGGTGAGGGTGGTGGGGATAACAGGAAAGTACCGATTCCATATTGTAGCTATGTTAAAACCGCTGTGAATTCTGTACTATCAAGGTTGTAGAGCAATTCATGCTCTATCGATTATACTATGCCATCATATGGAGCAATTCGGCTTCTTTTTTAAAACAATAGTGGACGCAAGATAGCACTGCATTTTTGTGCAGTCGGTAGGTAATTAGACCATATTTGAGACTCCTATTTTTTTTTTCTAATTCAAGTCAAATTTAGTACAGTCAGGTGCACTTCGTTACGAGAAATTTGAATATGATCTTGAATTTTATTTTTAACCTTGTTTTAATGTACAAAACTACCAAGACTGATCTGAAAAAATTGTGCGAAAAAAAGATCGTTTTTTGAGAATTTTTATTTTTTCTGTTTAAACTATTTTCAAAAATTTTTTCTTATCAAAATGTTTAGAATTAAAAGTTTGATAAATCCAGAAAATTTCATCAAAATCGGATATAATTTTAGTACAACTTAGTTAAGATCCAATGAAAATATCCACATACTATTGATTAAAGATTTTTATTTAGAATAATAAAATAGATGCATAAATAATAATGATTTTTTCTTTCTTAATTTTATTATTATTTTACAGTTTCAACTAAAGTATTGTTTTTTATTTGCTTTGATATAGTACAATGATGTTGTTGTTGTGCTTGTTGATATGAAGATTGGCCACCGAAAAATACAAACCAAAAAAGAATACGAGCAACATTTTGACAACGGTTAATATTCGATGATGACAATGAATGTTGACATGCTTCAATCATACAATGTAGAAATGTAGTATCACATATCATTTGTGTTTTACCACATGTGTCGTAACATAGATCGTGTTCATTACAACATACAATTAAAACATCTTCACCAATATTTCTAAGAAATGTATCGATGTTCAAGGTAACTGGACCACAACCATTTGCTTGACGACGAAATCGATTACTGGCACCATTTAATGAATGAAGAGAAAGGACAAAAAAAGATAAAATGAATAGAAGCAGCATCTTTCATTTAGATTACCGTTGACACTTATGTCTATGTAATGGACAAGGTTTGTATGCATCCAAAAAAAAAACACGTCATTTTTTTATTGATTTAAGAAGAAGAAAAATAGGCCTGATGCTTCTTTAAATATATTTTTCAAAAATGCAAAAAAGAAACATTATGTAAATGAGAAGTTATATTCTAATTTAATGGTCTTATAATACGAGAAAAGTTTTTTTCTATGCATCACAAAAAAACAAACAAACGAAATAACATTTTTGATTTATTTTACCGAAAATTAACTAATAAACTAAAACAAGTTAATCTATAGTACGCAGTCTCCATAATCAGGGACTTACGAGGAAGCATTCCCAACTGTCACATCGCTTTTGAGTCGAGCGTATGCGCATCATGTAGGCTCTAATAATCTATGAATACTCTGAAAAAAGTTCGTGCCGCTAGTTTATTGCTCCAGAGATATTGCATTTTTACTGTATTTATAAGCAAAAAACTATGGTCCCCTCAGGAATACTAGAAAAACTGAGTTTCGAATTTCAACTTGAAACTTCGTACAAGGATAGGTCTCGATGAGAATAGTTTAGTGTGAAAGTTTCAGATCTTTTGATTGCTTCTAGTCTGAAATAAGAACATCGGAATCTGCTGGTGTACATAAGCTATTTTACTATAGCTGTACCTCAGGATAGGAACAACGAAAAGATCTGAAACTTTCACAATAAACTATTCTTACTGAGGTCTATTTCTATGCAAAGTTTCAAGTCGAAATTCGAAACTTAGTTTCTCCAGTGTTCCTGAGGGTGACTACGGCTTTTTTCCTTAAACATACAGTAAAAATGCAATATCTCGGCAGTAATAAGCTAGCAGCACGAACTATTTTAAGAGTATTCATAGATTATTAGAGCCTACATGATGCGCATATGCTCGGCTCAAAAGCGATGTGACAGTTGAGAATGTTCCCTCGTTAGTCAGGTATTTTCCAAGAGGATATCTGACTTGTTTTGACGGTGCACACCAGCAGGAAAATAATTTTTTGTTTCGTGAAAAAGTTTTTTTGGCCAAATGGGGATGCCTGTGCATCCTTGCATCCCTCTGACTACACCTCTGTTCATAATATTTATTGCTCGGTATGTTATTTTTCTTGTTCTGCTGTTCATTGAAATTTAGGGTGTTTTTTCGGTAAAAAAAAAAGGGCGTCTTTAGGATCCAAGAAACGATGACTAACTGAAAACATAGTTGAAGTTTGATAACTGCTTAACTTTTATTTCTGTGTATGTTCATTGATAGCTCATCAGTAGAATTAAATAATGAGTTAATTCATTCATCTTGCAAATAGAATAGATATTTCAGAGACATTTTAAGGATGATTTGATAGAATAATGAAGAAAAAATATAGAAAGACGAACTAAAATTCAAAATAATTGATTGAAAGAAATTCAGTTGTTAATCGATTTGAATCTTTTTTAACCACATTTCCCACAATTGTAATTAAGTGATCGACGAGAAATATGAATCAAAGAAATGTAAATGAGTTATTTAGACAAACTTAACTAATCATCAATCGTAGTTTTAATTTCTCTCTCTGTTCATTGACGAAGTTTTGTCGAACTCGAATAACAACGCGAATATTTCGATCGATAAACGGGCCAAGTACAATGAAAATAATAGAAAAAGAAACTCAGTAACGATATTAGCGAATAGAAAATTGATGAAGTAGAAACCAAAGTTTATAGAACATTTTACAAAAAGTAACATTAACAAAATGCTTATATATGATTGTTGATTGACCAATTGTTTAATAACAAACGAGAGATTATTCCAATGGTTTCTTCTTCTAAACAGTCTTCATTAAAATCGATGAAATTTCAATAAAAAAAATATCATAATCTTCAGAAAG